GGGGTTCAAAAGGCGGTTGTTGCCTTAGAAGAGGAAATTTTTTTTTTTTTTTTTTTTTTTTTTTTTTGCACTGAGGAATGAGTTTTCTTTACTTTCTTCCAGTTTGTTTAAACACTGAAAGGATGCAAACGCATTAAAGATATATTACAAAGTATATGCAAACACATGCAGATGAATACCGTATGGGGGAAGTGGAGGATGTTTTCTGATGGGCCTGGGCTTCAACTAGTTACAGTCATGCAGCTCTCGTCAGATTTAACGTCACATTTCATACTTCAGTAGCCGTAAATCAACTCATTTCAGTTGTGAAGCTATATTTCTACCCACAGAGATTGGACGACTGCTGTCATTTGGAGAATAATGGCCAGTGCCAACATAACTTCGCTCAACACCCAATTATCCATGCCTTTTTGCGTCCCTCGCGCCCCACTTCACTGTGGTCCTTTTGAGTTTACGGTTTCAAATGAAAGCTGTAGTTTCAGCATGTTGCTGCAATAAAGAAAAACACAGCTGACATTTTCAAGCCCACGCTCCAGAGGCTGCCTTTCATTTTAGTTGGGTTATTAAAAAACTTGTTTGAATGAAAGGATTTCTGGAAGATCAGACAAGAAGAGGAAGCATAACATTTTTGGAGCATTGGTTTGGTTTCTCGCTGTCGGCATGACTTCAGAGTGCTTTTTTTTTATTTTTTTGTTTTTTTGTAATGGAAATATAAGATTGAAAATGTATTTTTAGGGGTTTAAAGACATTTTTCCAGTGTATCCCCAGTTGTTTGGAGGCGTCACACAAACGTGCTTGTGTGTTTCATCTGGATTTCAACAGGACTCATCTCCGTCTTCTGTAAATGAGATTGTTCTCAGAAACCATGTCACAGAAAGCTTTATTTTTATGAATGTGTTAACAAGTCTAAAGATACTTCAGTTTTAATGTTATTTTTGTAAATATATTGTGGCAATATGTCTAATACAGAGAAACTTTGTATTGAATCAACATGTACTGTAAATGTGCAAAGCATGACAAACTACACTTCAGCAGAATGAATGTTCTTTGTTTTACTTTTTCTATTTTTCTGGCTGCAGAAAAATAAACAGACACTGAATGTACTCTAAAGCCGAGTCATTTTCCTGCATTGCTGATTTCTGTACTTAATTACTGGGAGCAGAAATTTTAAATCCTTGGTATCGCAAGTTCTATTGGACAACATCAGTCTATGTATTTTGTCTGTGCTTATACTGTTGCGGTGGTGGACTGGTGTCTGTCTCCTGCATTCAGACTGTAAGTATTATAGAGGTTCTATACAAAGAAAAATAAAATTAACATCAAATGTGCACAAACTAAAAAGTACAATCGTTTTGTTTGAAATTAAATCGAAAACAATTTAATAGTACTCTTTAGTTTTGAATGCCCTTTATTTTTATATTTTTACATTTTAACCAAACCTGATTTCAAATTATTTTGTATATATTTTTACGTACAGTCATCTGCACCAATAACTTAAGCTTTTCATGGTGAGAAACTTTTAACCAGCCTCCAAAAACTAATGGAGACACATATGTCACACTGTGTGTTCTCAGAGTTTTCTCTTTTCACAGCTTGAACACGGTTTAGGTGTCGATGCCAGGGAGCTGGAGCTGGCACAGACTTCCACAGACTTCCTTCCCCCCAGTCATCTCTCTCCTGACGATTATTATATGAGATCAGGATCCTCATCTCTCTCACAGAGCCGAGGCTTCGCCAGCTACAGACAGCAGACAAGTCTTTACCAAAACGTAAGCCGTTGAGCTTTCAGCCCTCCTCGTGGCACGTAGTCCTCCAGATTAAACCAAGGACTGGCGGCTATTATGCTGCTGGACTGAGGCTGTTAAACAGACAATATTTATTT